GCCATTTACCATGTGCCAGTAACACTCAAGGGAAAGTGGCGCCACTGCTGGGTTAGGTCTGATAGCGCCCCATGTAAAAGCTCATAGGGGGAGGAGAGAGAGAGAGAGAGAGAGAGAGAGAGAGAGAGAGAGAGAGAGAGAGAGAGAGAGAGAAGAGAGAGAGAGAGAGAGAGAGAGAGAGAGAGAGAGAGAGAGAGAGAGAGAGGGAGGGAGGGAGGGAGGGAGGGAGAGGGGGAGGGAGGGAGAGGGGGAGGGAGGGAGGAGAGAGAGAGAGAGAGAAGGAGGAAGGGAGGGAGGGAGAGGGGAGGGAGGAGGGAGAGAGAGAGAGAGAGAGAGAGAGAGAGAGAGAGAGAGAGAGAGAGAGAGAGAGAGAGAAGAGAGAGAGAGAGAGAGAGAGAGAGAGAGAGAGAGAGAGAGAGAGAGAGAGAGAGAGAGAGGGAGGGAGGGAGGAGAGAGAGAGGGAGGGAGGGAGGGATGGAGAGAGGGAGGGAGAGAGGGAGAGAGAGAGAGAGAGAGAGAGAGAGAGAGAGAGAGAGAGAGAGAGAGAGAGAGAGAGAGAGAGAGAGAGAGAGAGAGAGAGAGAGAGAACCCCGGCAATAGCCAATCGGAACTAGGAGTCAGAGAGGTGCCATTTACCACACGCATGTACAGTGCCGCTCAATGAAATCCAGTCACGTCACTCAAGTTTGCGCCTAGCATCATTCCCCAGCCCAGTGTTCGCAGGTCTATGGCAGTGCAACGCCCGGCACGTACGTTTAGAGACGCTGTGACTGGATTTCATTGATCAGTACTGTTCTAGTAACAGTATGAGGAAAGTGGCACCATAGCTGTTCTAAGTCTGACAGCACCTGCTATTCTGGAAACCCTGTGTTGTACACATAGGTTACTATCTACAGTTGCGCTCGGTGAAATCCGGCCCGAAGTGCATAACTGGCGCCCAGTACTGATGCGGCCCTTGACGCCCTCAAAGTTGTACAAGTGCTAGTGTGCGCGTGTGCCGTATGAACTGTGCATGTGCTGTACTCATACGCATGCATGCTTACACCAAAATGTAAAAAAACCGCGCCAAACAAAGACAAGTGTAACATTCATTTCAGTTCAGCACAAGTAAAGAAGACGGAGATCGTTTCGAAGCAGTTTATTTCATACACAGAACAGCAGGGCTTCAATATTAATTTTTGTGTGGCCACCGTCAGCTTCGATTAGGGCTTCAACACAACGTGACATTGACTCCACGTATGGGGAAACCGTGTCAGGACACAACGAGTCCCACTCCAGGTGCAGTGCCTGCACCAGCTGGTCAGCATTCTCGCAGCGATGTGGAATTATTCTCTTCTTGAGAAGAGCCCACACATTCTCGATTGGATTCATGTCCGGCGAGCGGGGAGGTTGAAACAGGATGTTGGGT